CATTTTAGAAATATATATACAAAGGGTCCAGGGTTATCACAATAGTTAGCAAACAATCAGATGTTAGCGGATAGGTTGGAAGTTCAAGCCAATCAAATGGCTCTGCAGAAGGAAAGGCCTTAATCTACTCTCATAAAAATTATTGTTGTTATGTGCTGTCGAGTCACTTGTGACTCATAGAGACCCTCTGTACAACAGCCCTAAACCCTGCTCTATCGTGTACCAACCTTATTGTCTCCAACCCATTACCCCAGTCACTGAATCCATCTCATCAAGGATCTTCTCTTGCACTGTCCCTCCACCCTTCCAAGCATGATGTCCTTTTCCAAGGACTGGTCCCTCCTTGCAACATATCTAAAGTATATCAGACAAAGCTTCAGAATCCTTGCCTCCAAGGAGCAGCCTGGTCTCACTCTCTCTAGGAGGAACCTGTTTGTTCTCCTAGCAGTACATGTTATATTCAATACTCTTCTCCAGCGTGGCAGGTCAAGGTCATCAATCCTTCTATCATCCCTAGACATTATCCAGCTTTCTGATGCATAGCAAGTAATTGTGGAGACTATGGCCTGGATCAGGTACCCCTTAGTCTCCAGACGGACTTTGTTGCTCTTCATTACTTTGGAGAGGTCCCTGACAGCAGACTTTCCCAGTGCAATTAAGAAAATCCTATGCAACAGTTCTACTCTGTCCTGTAAGGTGGCTATTAGTCAGAATTGACTAGATGGTACACAACAACAGAACACAGTAATCAAAGGGAGAGAAGGCAGGACCTGCTGAGGGAGAGGAGAGGCTGGGGGGGGGGCGGCGAGGGGGTGTGTCTGGCTCAGAGAGGGGGTCTATGGGAGAAATGAATAAGGGTGAGAAGACTTGGGTTTTTTTCTGATAGAAAGGAAATGAAGAAATTGGAAAATCTGGAGCAATGGCAGAGGGTAGAGTTATTCTGCCCTGGGGGGAAGAGGGGAGCCATCTGGGAGTCCCTGCCCAAGAGCCTGTCCCAAGCCAGCCTTGTGGGGGTGAGCCTTGCAGGAACACTGAATCCTTCAGTCCCTCCTCAGCCCAGCTGTCCCGTCACTCATGCCTGATGCCTATTGGTTATTTTTGCTACGGAATGTGCCAGCCCCTCGGATTCTCTTGGGGAACAGGGGCTCAGGTTACCCCCTCTCCCCACTCAGTTCCCCCATCTGTGATGGGCGTGTTTGGGGTGGGCAGAAAAAGTGCCTATGGGCAGGGTCCCCTGGCTGGAAGTGGTCTGGACACACACAAGTACCTTCTCAGTACATGTCCCCTGTATGAACCTGTACTTGTGAAGCCCTCTGGGTGGCTGGGAGACAGGCCACCTGTGTGCACTCAGAGTATGTAAGACATGACCTTAAATTTTAAAATGTTGTTGTTGGCAGGTGCTGTTGAGTCAGTTCATAGTAATCCCACATACCGCAGAATGAAGCACTAACTACACAGCCCCAAGCTGTCCCCACAAGGGTGTTGTGTTTGAGTTGTTTGTTGCAGCCTACCTAGGTCAGTCCATCTAAAAAAGTCTACACTGAGGGCCTTGCTCTTTCTCCTGAGCCTCTGTTTTAGCAAGCATGATAGCCTCCCCCTGGGACCGAGCCCTCCTGATAATATGTCCCAAGTACATAATAAGATGTTTCACCACCCTCGCTTCCAAAGAGCATTCTGGCTGAACTGCCCAGACAGTTTATTGGTTCTCCTGGCAGTTCATGGTATATTCTGTATTCCTTGCCAATACCATCATTCACAAGCCAGGTCTTTCCTATTACTTGTCTAGCTTTCGAGTGCAAATGAGGTGATTAAAAATGTCTTGGCTTGGGTCAGACACACCTTCGTCCTCAAAGGGACATTTTTGCTTTGTTAATATTTTAAATAGGTCTTTTGCAGTAGATTTGCCCAGTGTGATACAGTACCTGACTTCTTGGCTGCTGCATCTATCCGTAGAAGTCACAAACTCAGTATCAGGGGCCAAACAGCAAGTGTGGGTGACTAGGCTCTGTTGTCAGCAGCTGAATGAGAGTGTGCCTGCCCCCTCAAAGCAGTGTCTCTCCCTGTATTTATTTTAGACCAAAGCTTTAGAGAAACAAAGTCAGGAAGATCCATCAACCCATGAGCATGCGATATATTGTGGAACCAACCTATAACTGACCCTCCAGTGAGTTTTCAGAGGAGATTAATTCAGAGTTTTAATCACATGGGAGGAGATTGTCTCTCTTCCCACAGAGCAGCTGGTGGATTCAAACTGTGTACCTTCAGAATTGTGGCACAGATTCTTACCAGCAGGCCACCAGAGTGCCCTCCTTATAGCATAGTCATCCATGACTATGAGTTGCATAGGTTAGAATCCTAATTCTCCAGTTATTATTGACTGTGCGGCTTTGGATGAGTCATCTGTCTGCCTCAGTCTCCTGCCTTACTGTAAGGATTAAATTAGTTTATTTATGTAAAGTGTATAGCATAATGTCTGGTATATACATTAGTGTACAAGGTTGAGTCGAGCATGACACGTATAAACAACAGATCTGAACCTGGCCCCACCATGAGATAACACCCCCCCCCAAATCAACCAATTGCCTTCATGTGGATTTCGGCTCCCGGAGACCCTCGTCTTTCTCCTAAGGGGCAACTGGTAGATCCAAACCACTTACCTTTCTGTTAGTAGCCCACCATGTATAGCAGCAGGCTATCAGGGCACTAGCATGAAAAAGTTAGTAATAATTATTGTTATAATCACAGCTCAGAAGCCAGCACTAGTACTTGTGCTGGGGTGGAGTCACAGCATCTGTGTGACTTTTGTTAAGTGAAACAACTTCTCTGAGCCTCACTCATTTGGTCTATTAAATAGATTTGTGGATACTCATGGAGTTGATATGCATGAGATAATACTTGTAAAACCACTTAATAAGAGCTAGAAAAACTGCAGTTATAATGTGTTGAGGCTGAAGAAGGATGCCCGCTGGAAGGTCAGTTATGGGTTGGTTCCAGCTTGATGGTACACCACCACCACAACAGTGTGCTGAGGAGGCAAAATTGTATGTATGAAATGCATGTGTGTGGATGGGGCTATGTGGCTCCTATTGGAAAGCAAAACCCTAAACTGCCTGTTGGTCGTTTGGATTCTTAGCGGCCCTCCATCGGTTTCCAAAGCTGTAAATCTTTCCAGGGACAGACTGCTCATCTTTCTGAGGGTTGTATGGGGGAGATGGGTGCGCGCAGGCACACACACTTAGAATGTGCTTCATTGAGAAGGATAAGAGGGGAGAAAGTAGTTAAGTATGTGAAAGTTAGGAGTACCCCTGTGCATCTTAGGGTGAATATACTGGGGTTAGGGACTGGCCCTCACTGACTTTCCTGCACAGTCTGGGGAGGGGTGGTGTCTGGGCTCCCGCCAAGCACAGAGCCTCTCCCCCCAGGGATCCCCTATGCCTGACCTGGGGCCCCCACCCGCCACCCTCTCTGCGCCCTGCCCTGTAGCAAGAGCTGGGGCTGCGGCCACTTGGGTGCCGCCTGGCACGGGGTGCGTGTGCGCATGTTTGTGGAGTGAGCAAGTGGAGATGCTGCTGACCTTCCAGGGCGGCCCCGCGGGACGGGGGGTGGGGGTGGCGGGCAGGCAGCGGTGGGCTGCTAGTGAGAGCGTGGCCCCAGCCCCTTTCTGTGCCTCAGTTTCTCTACGTGCCTGGGGTGCAGGAGGCAGGTGCTGGGTAGAGTGGAGGGGTTCTCGGCGTAGAGAGGTGTGTGATGGTCGCGCGGGGAGGGGAGGGCAGGTGAGCTGCACCTCCGGGGACGCGGGGAGCCGGAAAGGAAGGGGCGCCC